CAACTTAAACATTCTCCTTATCATTTTGAATTTGGCAGCTTGAGTGAACTCCTTTCAATTCTTTGAATTTTTTTCTCTCAAGTGTAGGCCTACATACTTCCCATTTCCTTTCTACTTTTCCCTGATTTGCTCGCCAGGGCTTACTTTATGCACATACAACAGGTATGATTGAATACAGGTCCACACTCAGGAGCACCCAATGCTTATTATTACTGGGTCTCATCTTGAAATTTTAATACATTTTGAACAAGAAATCACATTTGTTTTTTTTCTATGGTCCTGAAAATTTGTAGTCATACTATTACCTGGATTATTATTATTACTTGTCCTTCTGTTTAGAAATACGTACAAGAAACTGTTCCTCACTTCTGTAGATCATATTTGATATTCTTCCTGAATCTATATCATAATTGATTATAATTTGTCATTTTCTATTCTAAGCATGTTTACTTGATTTACCAATAGCTTGCCTTTCTTATCAATTTTTCTACCCTCAGAATCTAGTCCAGTGCCTGTATTCCACTAGCTGTGGTACAATATGCAGTTCAACATCACAATTTTGCCTCAAGTGGTTAGGAATATAGAAAATGTATTTCAGATAAAAAATTCAGACTGTCTGGGCAGGTAGCTACTATCAGTTATAAGCTATAGACTCTCCGTCCTGCATAGGTCATTTAATGTTTTGTGCCTTAATGTCTTCTTCTGAAAATGAGGCTACTAGTTTAATCCCATGGTAGAATTATGGGATTCATTTAAATAATAAGTGGAAAAAAATTAAAATTCTGAAAAACAGTTACCATTTATCCATCATGTTACCTATTAAAATTATTATATTAAATTCTTATTTGTTGAATAAATTTTTGATTATATGTGAAAGAGAAAGAAAATAGCACTACTACCTGGTATAAAATAACCAGAACTTTTATTGCACATATTAATCTTTATTGTACTGACTTATACTGCTAGGAGGAAGGGTAATTGTACAAAAGTTCAGTTCATGAAGTCAAGATAGAGAATTAGGAATCTGGGAGCAAGCCCAGAAGGAAGAAAATTGATGCTAATAGCTAATACAAGAATCTTATAAGGAGGAAAGAAAAGCTTTCCATTTAAAATTATTTGATGACTGCAGGAATTGTTCAATGAAATACTAACACAATTTTGAGAAATTTGGATAAATAATGGTAAACTGTAGACTACTTTCCTTTTTGCATATTTAGCAGTTATGCTTTCTCTTTTAAGTGTGTGAAGTTGGGTTTAATTGACTATAGGTAGAGATATAATGCCATTAGGAAGGAAGTACATGATATATTATTCACAGGTACAAAATTAGATGGAAGTTTTTTGTGTCTACATTTGTCTTGGGTTCTGCATGCAGTCTCTATTCACCTGTTTTACATCATGAGACCCCATATCCCTTTACTTCCTCCTGTGTGTCTGCTGGCCTATCTCTGTTCTTTCATTTGTTTCCTGGCAGAGTCTACTTGGAATTCTCTCCTTATTATCAACCTCTCGACATTTTTAGATTCAATCACACTTCAGTTTTTCAGGGAACATACTCCTGACTCTACTGCGTCTTTTCTTTAGTCATCCCCAGAAAGGAATAGCAATGTTCCCACGTGGTACTTTTCACAAATGATTTGTAGAATATTTCACAACTAATGTCTTTCTTCCCTGTTAGACTTTTAATGACACTAAAAGTAAAAACTATTCAATTTTTCTCAACATCATGTCCGGGGCGCCTGCTTTGTGTAGAGCAAGCACACAGAATATTCATGCAATTGTAAGGTTTCTCAGCAACATGATCCAGATTTCTCTTAAAAAGGCCAGAGGCATAAATTACTCCAAATATTTTCAAAGAAATAGAGTAGAAAAAGAGGAAATATAGGCTGCCTAAAATGTGCTCTATAGTACAATTAAATTCTAAATTTGGCAATAAGTATCTAGTCTGTAAGATCACTCAAGAAAAAGCCTATGAACATGGCACTTTGTATATTTACAATTTTGCTACAATTAAAATTGCCAACAGAATTTTAAGATGGAACTAAATCAAGATATTTGATTAAGTAATACTTAAAAGGACCGTAAACTTTAAGCTTAATTAATTTATAAAATATTGAAATACTATTCAAATAAGAAGTTTTTAAACTGACCTTCTAGAAAGGCAAAGAATATAACAGCAAATCAAATTTCAGAGTGTGCATTTCTATGAAGGGTAAGAATAATAATGTGCAGTCAGACAATTTGCTTTCTAATCATCTTACTTAATTCAGTGATAGAGCCTGGAAACACGAGGTAGACAGCTAAAATGTCCATTAACCTGTCTCAATCAAATATCAGATGTATTAAATGAATCTTCTTTAGGTATTGAATCAAAGCCAAGATATAAATGAAATTTCTTTCAGATATGTGCAATGTCTCTTTGTAGCACAAAGAGAGAGATGTCCTTTAGAATGTCAGATATGTGAAGGAATGACTTTGGTCTTCCATTGTAAGTATTTGAGTTAAAAGCACATAGCATCTCTCTATGAATGCAATGTTAACTCTGAAAATAATAATTTCCCAGTCATTCACACATTGTTTGATTCATTTAAGAAAAAGAAACTGTATTTCTCCAGAATTTCTGTTAACAATTTCATATATATGGATAATAACTTTGAAGTACCAATATTATTACTAATATCATACTGATTTTTGTACAGTGATGATATTTACAACAATAGAGATGGGGAAGAAGAAATATTCATGAAGTTGCCATGAGAATTAAAATAAGATTAGTTGCTTTTTAAAATTATTCACAGCTACACAAAAAATACTGTCTTCAGCTGTAATGACTTTGTGTCAAAGAAATATAGGCAATATCATTTCAGTGGCTTTCACAGAGTATGGGAGTCCTTCTGGGTCAGGATCACCCTAAAGGTATAATTGTTCTCTCTAAAATCCAGAGACCCCTGTCTTTATACTCAAATGAGTGCAACCAGAGACTGTGAACAGGTGAGGTGGACAGCAGATAGGTTGAAGAAAATATTGTTTCTGAAAATAGAAAAGGATAACATTGAGAAAGTTGACAGACTCACATTTTTTAGCAATTGGAAAATAAGTAAATTAAATTTTAGAAACTGATCCAAGAGTGAGCACATAGTATCATGGGTCTTGGAAAATAATTACTATCATTCATTGAAAAAAAGAACAGATTGTGCTGGTGGTGGAGAATGATGATTTTTGACCTGCACATTGTGATTTAAGGTAGGTCTCAAAGGGTCATGCTCTGGAATTAAGATATCTGACTCCACATCTCCAAGGAAAGACGGATTCTGACAGGAGAAAGGTTCATCAGAGGGCATCAGTTTAGCTGTGGGCAGGCAAGAGAGGGCCTAACTGGAGTGTGTGCACTGAAAAGGGAATAATATCCAGGCAGGAATCCAGGGTTCCTCTATGGTGAGAGGAATCTGCAGCAGAGACCAAGAGGTTGTCAGAGAAGTGAAACTGGGAGCACACTGGGCAAGTGCATGTTGTGAGAGCCAGCAGAGTCAGTGCTTAAAAAGAGAAGCCTGGCTCAAGGGCATGAGATTATGAAAATCCTCTAGTCACCTTAGGAAGAAATTGGTGATTTGGCTTTTGGGTTTACTCATTCTGATTTTAAACTTCTGTCAATTTTTCATTTTTTGTCCTTTTCTCTCAATTAATTAAATCAATTTGGCAGCTGAACATCTTAAAAATTAGAATATCTCACTTTACTTTTTATTTTAACAATATTTAGATTTTGGTGAACGTATTTTGGGCATAGCAATCCTATTCTAAGTTGCTTGGTTTTGAACACCACCTTTCTGATAGTAAACAAAATATGAGTGAGTGGATAATTTAATTATTAAATTGTCAATTTAAATTAGATTTAAGATTATCTAATAACTACATTAATAAATAAAGTTATGACAAGAAAGTAATTCTACTGTGCCTTTAAATCAATATTATGATTAAGAAACATCTTTGAAATAGTCTTTGATATGAATAAAAAATAATTTGATGATAATCATAAACAAAGTTTTTATGAATCAATTTTCACACATGTACTAAAATTTATGTGAATTTTGGTCACATATAAAATTGATCGTTTTTGTAAGATAGACATTTTTAACATACATGTATAGTATATAATAATTCATTGAGGAACTGAAACCTCAAATACTGAAAATAATCTATTAAAAACAGTAAATTATTTTTTCTAATGAATTATAAATTGTTAAAATTTTCTATATTTTCTATTTGAAGTAAAATTCAATCAATATACTAGCTTTGTTTATCTGTGAGTGTTATGAAGGTATTTATGTGATTGAAAAAAATATTTTATGTAGTATGCTAGTTAAATTGCAACAAGAATTCCCATTGGAAATATAATCTATACAATATTCAATTGTAAGCAATTCCTTGATTTGAATCAATATCCCTGAAATAAATGATTAATCATTTCCATATTGTTTCGAGTGACTTCCTAAGAACAACTTAAGTAGTGATTACTGTGTGTTTAATAATTTATCTGTGATGAATATGGTGTAAATTTTGCTTATGTGTGATGCTATTTTACTCATTCAAAAATGAATAAGACAAAATACCTAACCAAAATATAGCAGAAATACGATTTTCATTGGTAGTTTTTAGACAGCATTTGTATTCGCAGTGAATATAATTGGAAACCAACAAAATCCTTCCAAGAAGAACATGAAAACTTTTAAAAAAGCAAAAACATACTAAATATGAGTGATTGATAAAATAGATATCCAAATGGTTACTACATGTCAGTGTCCCTGTAAGAAAGGCAGCAAGTGAAGTGGATAAGCTAAAGAACAATAAGTAAAAAATGCAGAAACAGTACTTTTGAAATTTTTTTAAATGCCAATGTGAGGTTATTTTCATTTATATGCATATTTAATAAGCATCATGAGTATGATCATTTTTTTAGAAAAACAAGCATAAAATCTTTTTTTTTCCTGAATCAATGTAAACAGAGCCCAGACGGCCGCATTGAAGTCAAAGGGCAACATGGAAGCTCATCACTGCATATTGAAGATGTAAAGCTGTCAGATTCAGGGAGGTACGACTGTGAAGCAGCAAGTAGAATTGGAGGACATCAAAAGAGCATGTACCTTGATATTGAATGTAAGTTACTTTCAATTTGTATGTTTATTTAAGCAACTTCATCTACCTTGAAAAATATTTTTATAAGAAAATCAAAATACATGTGCAATTCCTGTTTCAGTGTTTAATGAATAGCATTTAGAAGGAATGTAGCCATTCAGTCAGTTATTAGAGACATCTAGTGGAGGTAATGGGACATTTCATAGTGCTGCATATTTAATGGCCCATCCTGGAATGATGACTTTCTTTTTTATAACATTTAACCCCAAACTGAGCGTTAGCTAAATCATATCACTTATCAATAATGTTCAATGACTCCTTAGACTTTTACGTGTGCTTTTAAAAATATATCATGATTCTGTGCCTCACATATACAAAGACTCTTTTCATTTCTTATTCTTTTGTTAAATTATTTTGCATCTTCTTAAGATATGAAACACTATCATAAATACAGTGAAATATATCAGTACTTCTATTTTATCCAAATTGTGTTTGTTGTCTGTCTTGAAAATAGGACTATTACTAGGCCAGTTTTTAAAGTAAATTTGAAAAAAAAAAGGTGTTCATGACTATGAGATTGGGAAGCAAGAAGGCTAATGCAAGCTGGGCTTTCACAGTTCACTTTAAGTCATTGAATAGAATTTTAAAGTAAGATGCTATATATGTTATTTAAAAAGGAAGAAATTTAGCATCATTCTCAATAAATATTTATGAACCATCAGTGTTAGAAACTCTCTGATGCTTGAAGGAACATAGCTGTGTTAGTAGAAATGTTTGAGATAACTCTTGTTGACAAAACATTTCTATGGGCATATTTCTGGTATATTAATATTGATAGAAAGCAATAGTAACTGTGAAAAAAAGACACATTTTCTATTGAGAATCCCTTTAGAAAGAAAACACTTTTTCAAGAATTGACATAAGTTAAGTATGTTATTTTATATATTTATTCGCGTTGCTAATATTAGGTGACTTCCAAGAAAGTCATTTTATTGTTATCACATGTCTTAAAAACTGAACAGATAAACAAATAGCCCTGATATTGTGGAGAATGTACAAAGGAGGAAGTGATAATATTAAATTACTTCACATGCTTTTTCTCCCCTCATATTATATGCAGATATTTTTTCATCATCATTATTGTACATTCCTTCCTCAGGTCAGCAATGGGAAAAATGAAAATGTTCCTCAAACTTCCACCTGTTTATATTTTGTAATTCGAAATATGTTTATTTAGAACAAAATTTTCTTTACAATTTTTCTTTGTTTAATATTTATATAAATAAACATAAACCTAAGGTTTTAATATATTATTAACATTTGAAGGTGCCCAACAATTTTTAAGACAAGCCCTTTGAATACTACTAGCTTCTTCCAACTATTCAAACAAGGGCTAGGCAACTAACTCTCACTAAGAAAACAATATTTAGGACTTATTTTGTCTTTTAAAAATAAATTAAAAGTTATTTAACATATTGTAAGACTATTATTAAATCCCTGTTGCAAGTACTTACAAAAGGGGAGCTTTTGAAAAATGTACATAGTTGATATTTGCAAGACAGGGTAAGGCAGAATGGCTCGTGACAGTAGACTGTTAAGATTAACTAATATGCTCGTTCTAAGGTTGGTGCTATTCAGCAGTATAACTTGCATTCTTGGGATCTCAGATTCTTTCTTTATGGAATAAAAGGTTTATTTTTGTGGCATCTTTATACTCAAACCATTAAAAAGTGCTTTTCCTCAAGCATAGCCATATCCATAAAAGATACCTTAGGACTTCTGCATTTTCATCCATGAATGACTGCATAGGTGTCTGTATGACATAAATAAAAACCTAAACTATGATATGTAATTTCTCTATTCTAAGACCTCATGAAAAAAAAATTAAAAGCCAATTGTATCTACCTAAGATTCATGTTCTGTGATGAGTGAAAGCAGACACACAGAAGAATAAAACAGCTCCTCCTTTATTGGAACACCAGGACTAACAAGATTAAATCAAACTTAACACATATTCATATTTGAAAGAGATAGGTAGAGAAAAACTTGAAGATAATGTGAAATTCTATTATATAATGATATGATATTTTTAGTTGTCACCGATTTTAACTATGTAGAAAATAATGATAAAAGTGATGTTATATTATAATGTGAATTCTTTGCTATTGTAATCTTTTAGTAAAATGAATAATTTAATATAAAAATACTTAAGATATCTAGTTTATCTATATATATTTTAGGATATCTATTTTTCAAGGACTGATTTCTAACAAAGCACAATTTTCTTTTGATCACAAATTCATTTCTCCTTTATAGGCTTAAATATTAATTATTTTCATCTTAAGTATTTTGAGATAAGTGTTTATCCTAAAGTTCAAAATAAAATTATATAGTTTCTTTGTATATTTTATAATGCATATGCAAATAATCATGTACTATTATTTTTATTTCATATTTTAAAATGTTTCTTTTACATTCATTAGGGGCATATTGCAAACATTTTTCTGTATTCATGGTATATAAATAAGGTGGTTTTGAAAACTGTATTATTTATATTATTTTTGATTGGCAAATTATAATTATATATATTTATGGGATATAATATGATGTTTTGATGTATTTATACAGTATTCAACAATTAAATTAAAATGACTAACATATTTGTATATTAATATATATTACCAATTGATTTTATGGTGAGACATTTAAAATTTGCCCTCTTAGTTATTTTAAATATGCAATACATTATTATTGATGATAGTCATCTGGCTATGCAATAGACTTCCAAACCTATATCTCCTAACCATTTGAAACTGCATCCTGTGTTCAGCAGCTTCCCTTCTCCTTCCTTTTCACCCCTCCAGGCTTTGGTAACTATAATTGAACTCTATAAAGTTTATTAAATCCCATGAATAAGTGAGCTCATACAATATTTTTCTCTCTGTGCCTGACTTGTTTCACTTACTGTAATGCCCTCCAGATTCATCCATGTTACAATTGAAAAGTATGTCATTGGGTGTACATACCACATTTTCTTTATGCTTGTATCCTGGATGGGCATTAATATTTATTGCATATCTTGACTATTGTGAATAATGCTACAGTGAACATGGGTGTACAGATTCTCTAGAGGGTGCTAATTTTATTTCCACTTAGTAATGCACCCACAAGGATTACTGGATCATATGGTGTTTGTTGTTGTTGTTGTTGTTGTTTTCCTTTGAGGAACCTCCATGCAGTTTTCCATAGAGGCAACACTAATTTACTTTTCAACTTACAGCATACTATAAAAGTTTGTTTCCTTTTCTCTGCATCCTCTTCAATACTTATCTGTCATCTCCTTAATATAAACTATTCTAACAGGTATGAGATGATACCTTAATATGGATTTAGCTTGCATTTTTCTAATTAGTGAAGCTGTGTATTTTTTCATGTATTGTCCAGTTAAGTATCTTCTTTTGAGAAAGGTATGTTCAAGTCCTTTGACCATTTTAAAATTACATAATGCCTTTTCTTGCTATTGAATTCAGTTCCTTGTGTGTTTTGAATATTAATTCTTTGGCAAGCGTATTATTTTATAATATTTTCTCCCATTTCATTATTTATCTTTGCTGAGCTCTTTCATTTAATATTCATTGACACATATATCTGTATATCAATAATTTATTATGTTTCTTTCTTTTATTCTATTATACACAGATCATAGAAGTTTTCTGGTATGTTGGTGGCCATTTTTTTGTTTTCAGATTTGGATATTATGCAAAATATCTTTGTGAATATTTTTGAGAATCATGTGGGCATATACTTTCTGCTTTATGAAAATGAATATTTTAAACATTTTTTTTTCTATTCTTTTTATTTATTTATTTATTTTATACCTAGTGGAAATACTATCTCTGCAGCCTTTTGGGTTTTGCAGTATTGTTGTTTTGTCTTGTTTTGTTGTTTCTTTGGGGGTTTTTGTTTGTTTATTTGTTTGTTTTGAGACAGGGTCTTGCTTAACTGTTCAACTGGCCTTGAGCTTGAGAAATTCTCCTGTCTCAGCCTCCCAAGCAGCTAGGATTACAGACATGTGCAGTCATGCCCACTTTCAATTTTCTTTGGCTTTTTTCTTTTTTTTTTTTAATACCAGGGATTGAACTCAGGGGTTCTTAACCACTGAGCAACATCCCAGTCCTTTTTTAATATTTTATTTAGAGATAGGGTCTCACTGAGTTGCTTAAGGCCTAGCTAAATTGCTGAAGCTGACATTGAACTTGTGATCCTCCTGCCCCAGCCTCCCAAGCCACCACCATTCCTTGCCGGGTTTCTGTTCCCGCGACTAAAAGGCTCAGGGGTTACTCTGGTTGAACTGGGCTAACTGGGCTGCACAAAATAACTACACAAGAGACACACATACCTTTCTCTTTGGGGTTGCTGTGACGGCTCCTCTGACCTTAAGTGTCCTCAGAAAGAGAGAGAGAGAGCATGCGCTGACCCCTTTTATTGAGGAGAAGCCTTTAAATGAGGCAAGGGGTCAGGTTTCAGGGGGCTGAGTCTATCTTCATGATGTCCACTGTCAGCAGGTTGACTGACACCTGGGTAGGCCACACCCAAGGGCACAGTAAGAGGAGGGGACACACACAAGGCACTTCCATGGAAGATTCTATCCTAAACAGGGCAAGGGGTTATATTACAAAGGAACAGGTGAGCATAGCTTCACCCATGGGGCTGTAGCAAGACACACCCATTTCTGTGACTGAGCTCCTCAGCACCCAGCTGGGGAGTGTAACTCAGTCACTGGTAAGGTTGGCCTCCCACAATGCCTAACTTTTGTGGCATCTTAATGTAGAATTTGAAAAGGTAAAGTTTTAAGTTTTCACTAATTCCAGTTTATCAAATACATAAATTTGGACTTTTAAGGTCATACAGCTTATATTCTTTTTAAGAAACCATTACCTAGTAAAAGGTCTGGGAGACTTCTGCATATGCTTGCATTTTAAACTTTGTGGACTTAAGTTTTACATTAAGGTCTTCTAAGT